AAGCACTGTTGAGGAGTCCCACAATAGGACGAAACGGTCGTCCAGTGCTTCCAGGTTTTCCATGGTGGTCTAGCTTCAATTGACTCATGATTTCAATAATATATAAAAGACATCTCATATTAGTTGATTGCTAATTATTCACATGTGTTATGAACGTTTTCTTTATTTTACTCCATAGATTCTACCAGATTTTCATTTTTTTTCCAACTCAGTATTCTCGATGAATATTTTCTATTCAGCTTACATTTAAAAATATTAGTTTGAATATTATTAGTTTTCAAATCTGTTTCACAAAATAAGAATAGTTAAATAAATTAAATCTCTACTTGAGAAAGTTTATGAGTGGTAGTTGATAAAGATGGGAAAACTAAAAATTAAGAATATGAATCATCTTTATTTCAACTTCACCCTAGAAGTCTTCGTCGATATGCACACTATTAAACTTTTGGTAGAGTTGGTGAGGGTTTTGATTTTCGAATCCGCTGAAATTCTTCCTTTGTATGCATACTGATGATGACCCTGTTTTATACCAATGATACAGCTACCTATCAACGTCAGTTGATTGTCTCACACTAATCTTTTAGTCCCTAACCTGCCCAATCAGAACACGAGGAAAGTTAGTCCGATTTAGCTTATACATACTGTGACTGAAGAACAATTCTATCTACCGTATATATGACCATTATGCATCAATCGCAATTTGTACATTACTAGGTCATCTGTAGTACAAACTGAGTGACGGACCCATAAGTAATAAGCTATAATTTACGAGTGGTAAAAGATTTATCAACAGTTAATAAGATAAATGAAAGCTTACTATTTATTTACCTACGTACTGACATTCTTCATCTGAATTTGTTATTGTGTATAGGGTCAGAAGCTCTATCATCTGAAAAGTCTAAATTATCCAGCTTTGTCCCAAGTGTCCACTGTATTCTGTGCTTCTCTCGATATGTGGAGGTCTCCATAGTCAAGTTAACAATCGAAATAAAAGGGAAAGATGACATTAGATAGCCTTGTCTGACACAAGTCATTACTTGAAATGCATTTGTGAACTGACCTCCATATAAAACTTTGAAGTCCAGTCGCTTGTAGGAGTTTTGTATGATGGTGACTATCATCTCAAGTATCCTATAGTGTCGAGGAAGATTCCATGAGGCTTTTCTATCCACGCTGTTGAATAGTTTTTCATAATCAAGAAAGTTGATATGTGACGACGAGTTCCATTCAATTGATTGTTTAACAATGATCCGTAGTGTCGCGATTCGGATAGTACATAGTCGATCCTAACGAAAGCCGACTGGTCGACCTCGGGGTTGGGCATCTACTTAGTCCTTCATTGGGTTCGACAATCTTTTGAAAACTTTTCTTTGTACTGTTAGTAATAAGAAGTTTCTATAGTTCTCACACTTACCTCTATATTTTTGTATTCTTATGAGGCATGCTTCTTATTAGTCTGTTGGTAATTGTTATCCCTCACAAATCTTTCTAACAAGAACGTGGAGTATCTTTGCAGTTGGTTTAATATATGACTTGAGTGCTTCAGCTAGTATACCGTCTGATCCTGCTAGTTTTATGTTCCTGATTCGTCTAATAACCTTGCTGATTTCTATTTTTAGCGGGGTATTATCTGTAGAGAGATCTCTGTGTGCTGTTTCGATATCCGGTGCGTTCATTGGTACTAGTCTATGCAAGAGCTCCTCAAATTACCCTACTCCCTGTTTTGCTGCTCGCAGTCGTCAGTTATTGGTTCGCCTTCTGTGTTCCTGACTGATTGCTCTAGTCTACTGTGTCTCCGTACTAGTTTTTTATACACATCATATCTGAAGTTGTATTACTTTTCATAAAATTTTTATCAGACCGTGGTAATAATATTTTAAGTTAGCTTGATTGATGGATTTCTAAAATCTTTAATTAATGTTGTTATTTGGTAACGTCTTTAGATGTTTATAAACAAATGTGTTCACTATCGGCTTTTGGTGTTACACAAAGAAATATTTACATCAGTGGTAATAACAAGTAGTTGTTCAAAAACAATCATATTCATTTTAATATTAACTATAGCGTGATAAGCATTGAACTGTGCATCATATATAGAATAAAGATTACTTGTCTTTATATATCAGAATTACGTTTTGTAAACTACATTCATGAATTGTATATTAAAGCCCAAGATATTTCGACAATTTGTGAAATCATTATTGAATTTTGTAGTTTTTATAAGTCTAGAAATAATCTGCCGCGTCTAAAGATCAAAGGTCATCGTGTATGTATTTTGTCACGTTCTAAAACATTCAAGTTTAATGAGCATCTATCTAGTGTTTGAACGAAGAAATAATATATAATTCATGATATCCGATGAATTAAACGAAGTTAAACATTCTAACTATTGAATTACAGCTAAGTGATACATAATCGTAAGATAGTTTTCACGAAAAGCAAAGATATTGATTTTAATTCTCAAAAAAGATAGCTTGTGGGTGTACTGATCAAAAGTTCCAGATTACTGTAAAACTACTTTTGTATTTTCCTTAGTGAACGATAGGTGTTTAAAATATCGGAAATTATTGTGCACTGTTAGATCGTTGGAGAATCTGTTGACGTATATTTAAGTGAATTTATTTGTTATATTTCATTTCTTAACACTTCAGAATTACACACTGATTTCGTTTCGTAATTTAACTGGAATTCAGCTCATTAGTTTTATCAATATTAAATCAAATTTCTTAGGTGATCTAGACATATTGCTTCACTAAAGATGGTCTACCCGACAGGATATCATTTATTACGTTTCTTCTCATCCTTCTTTTAAACGATGTGACTTTCAAAAATCCCATCTTACTAGCATCAGCAACAAATTTTTCGTTATAGTTTGTTATAACCACCTTTTCATAATTTGCCCATGACGAACTAGACGAACAAGAACGCGTCATTAGAATGACCTAGGTCTGTTTGATACCACATCAATTTAGATTAGAATACTAGAAAGATATACAGTTTACAAGGCAAGTCTCTACATATCATATAAATGTATGTTAATTCAACACTCTGTATAAAGATTATAATCAGCCTGCATAATAATATATCATATTATCACCCAATGAGAATCAAGTTGATCCACTAAAAAGCACATAACTAACAGTAATCGATAGCTTGGAAAATTATAAACTTTTGCCTGTCCACCTTTTTCTAATGACAGCATTTGGATAAATAATAAAAATGTCCCTGATTAAATTGGAAAAATAGAAAATTTCGATTTTTGCCTATCCAATTGTGATCATAATTCCTATCAAATTGTAGCCACCCAAAAATGGTTAAGAATTAATTCTAAAGTTTGTTTTTAATGCTAAATAATCTTGCTTTTGGTTAGAGGTGTTATGTCGTTAGTATAGTAAATAACAATCCTTCCTTTCAGAGGTGGTAAGTTTATAAAGGATTGGGACAGGCTTTAGCGATTTTTAAAATGATTGACGCTTCCTAGACCATTGTTAGCCAATTAGAAAACATTATAGTAAGAGATAGACAATGGCTAACAGCGTAATCCAGGATGTGCCTATGGTCCTATCTAGGACTCTTCAGATGGCTGTAGTCAGAAAAGTTATTTTAGGTGAATAGTTTATCTAAGAAAACGATAATATTTCAAAGGATATAAATATTTTTCATGGTTAATGAATTTACTGGAGTTTTCTATTAATCTTCGTGTCTAGAAGTTGAAAAAACCGCAATATACGGATTCATCAATATAGCTATATACCACGCGACATCTGGGACCCTTATAGAGACACAACTAGTTTATTAAACTTGCCCACATTACCTTGAAGTTCTTTTGTACAACGTGATGGTTATATCCTCATCTAGAAAGAGATCTATGTAAGCTCTAGTTATCCATGTACGCAGTCGTTTCAAGCTGAATCATGTTCCTAATTTTTGTTATAAATTTGAAATAATGAATTGCTATAGCCTCAACTGCTCACAAATTTCTCATCCAAACTTTTTTGAACCAGTTGTTTTTACTTTGTGGGAGATTTTGAATGAAGATTCACGTGACTGGCTGTAACGTGAGTTAATCTTACGTACAAGGACTGAGCTGTTAACCGATTTCTATTTCCTTTCTAGCTAGTCATGTAGAGTAGTGTTTATCTATTCGTTTACCAAGTGCAAGCTTTGTACGGCCGAAATAATCTGCTCCACGAGAGCAGGTAAACTGGTAAATTCACATTGAGGTGGCCCAAAGCGGTAGTTTACCCTTGACACTTTCTTGAGTGAGTTTCTTTCTGGAGAAAATAATTCGTAGTTCTGTTGAATAAAGCATTTTTCTCATGGATTTAGGTAATCTGTTACTCAATACTTCCATTGAATTCAGTGGTCCAGAATAAAACCTATTGAAACTGGAAATATCTTCAAATTGACGTTTGGGTTTTAGATTACTACTAATATACCTACCTGGGCGGGAAGTCATTCTCCAGGACTGTTCGTCGAACTGCATTTAGCATGTTTTTTGTTTGCACATATTTGCTCCTCGTGTAATAACAAGTCGTACACTCTAATAATTAGATTAATGTAGGGGTCGTGGGTGAATACCGTTAAGGAGTCTTATACTATAACGAAATATATCCAGTACTCTCTGGTCTTCCATCATACCACTAATTGAGGTTGTTTAATGACAAATATCATCTACAAATTAATAGGTTGTTTTTTTCCGCTGTGCATAGTATATGAATACATTTGTTTGACCAGCTTCAGCTAATCGGAAAAACATAGTCCTAGATTTTGCTCTTCATGACATTCGTTGATTACATTAAAATAAAACATCAAGAAAATCATATATATTATCAATAAATGTTTGGTTTATTTTGTACTACATATACTGATAGCAAGTTCACTATCAAAATGAAATTGATAGGTGTAAATTTTTTTTAGAAATCTTTTATGAATTTCTAACTCATTCAATTGAAATTGTTACTTTGTTGTCATTCTTCTTTTTCTCTCTTAATTTTCAGTTTAAACAATTATAATCAAAGTGATCGAATTCTGTATTGTAAAAAGCATTATCAAGAAGAGGTTTTGGCTAAAAATACCCAAACTCCAATCTAATGTTCTAAAGTAAAAAGAAAATGGACAAATATACCTATCTATACTCTTTACCCTTCTTATTACAGCTAAAAATAATAATTGAATCATGAAATAATTTTGGCAAGATCTTTATTATTATTATTATTACTAGTAGTAGTAGTAGTATGTTGTAACCGATTGTATACCTAAATGTATATCTGTTAGATATATAACTTTTAGTCATTTATCTTAAAGTGGAAAATTTTCTATTTTTTTTCTTTATGAGTGTGTAACTATTCCATTTTTTTCTGTTTCACTTTTTCATAAATGTAACCTTTTCCATCGATATTTTAGTTTCTTATGAATCTTTTATTTTCTGCTCTTTTAAATTCAATTCTCTTTGATATTTCTTTATCATTAGTATAATCATTTCTTGAAAAAAGTTTATCATTTCCCTGTTTTATATAACTTTTCATGGTCATATAATCGCTTTCATTGAACAAAATAGAGTTTTCCACACAATGAGTTTGTTTTCATAGTATGAAAAATCTATCTAGAAAAATTTATTTATTCATTTAAACACATAAATATTGGTACAAGAAAGCACTAGATACATATGCGCCGCACAAATCTTTGATTTGTGTGAGGCCTGGGATATTGCCCAGGTGCCCAAACTGAAACAGGTGATTTTCTTAGGGGGCCACACCCGAAGCCTTTGACCTAAAGATCTGATCCACAAGGCAGTGGAGCATCGTGAGGAGATTCAATCCCATGGTATCCGGTGACCAACGATTGATTCATACTCCATTTGTTCCCTCAGGATACTGGAGCTAGCCCATATGCACCATTGGTTTTGAATCAGGGTTTTCCAACTTCCCTAGATGTACACTCCACACATTCTTTCTGTCTTCTGAATTTCGTAAACAACACCCCCGCCATGAGAAGACAGTGAGTAGGACTTCCCTGGTAGAGGCTATATATTCGCGTGGCCATGTGAGAGCGTTTGGAGAGGGAGAACGGACTCTCCCCACTCTCGGCCGTACCAGGGCATTTGCGGGCCGTATGTGTGTATGCGAGTAAGTGGTTTTTGAGAGAGGAGTTTAAATGAAGAAAATAAGCGATCACTTATCCACTAAGTTCAAACTTAAGACTTTTACATTGAATATTATACTATAACTTACAAATTAGTTTTTTATAAGAATTCCTACACTTGACATTATTTCGCACACAAGAAAAGTTTGGAAGCTGAATGTTATTCTGAGTTCTATAAAAATATTTTTAGATAAAGTTGGACTATTTTAAACGGTTAAGTTAAAGTATTGAACATCTATGTTGTTATTGTAACAATCACTGTTGAATAAGCCACCTTTTGTTTATGTAAAATCATTAGGTAAAACGAGTGAATATGTGTAAAGATTGAATAAACAGTTTGACTGAAATTGGACACCAAGTATATAGGAGGCATCCTATTGTACAAGTTGAACATGAAAGAACCTCTGTGATTAACATTTAAATAATTTTACTTTTTTGACCGATAGCTTGGCTCCAGCTCTGAGAAAATGGTCAGAATTGAAATTGTCAAAGATAAATATGAAGTCTACAAATGGTTCAGGTTCAAACGCTGATGTTGTATATAGTAAAGATGTGAGTCATTTTATATGAACTGCGCTCAAAATGCGATTTATGAGTGTTATTGTTGCTAAAACTTCAGTGAACAAATACAGTCCTTGACTACGATTAATAATATATTGATCATTTTTTCAAACTGTCAAACTAGGTGTAAATTTTAGTACCAATTGTCTGATTCTACTGTAAATGAACGAGATTGATACTAATGAAATACATATCCCACTTAACTATAGATATATTCTGTCGACTTGACGCGTTTAGAACAACCGTATATCAAAAATCGAATACGAATTATATTTAAGCTACATATATTCTAGACTTGCTTGTGTTAAATGATAGACAAGCAAATAAGAGATGCAGCGATTGTATAAAGTATCTGGCTTCGGTAAACCACTGATTCAGACCATAACAAGGTGACTCGGTCATGTAAGAACTACATACACTATCCGACACATGTATAAAGCATATCCAAGTCTGCATGTGAATAACTAACAGGCTCAAATATATGTGACAGAGTAAAGATTGGAATAAATCATCTATCCAAAGGCTATTGTAAGTCAGGCAGATGTGTAACAATACTAAGTACTGCAAAATCTTAGTAAATTAAGACTGTCGATGTATATGGTGATTGTGAATAGACTGATATTGGTACTGTGATATTAATTCAAAGTACTTGGCGCTGAGTCCAACCATAATAGTGGAATAAATAACTGATCGTTCTTTGTCGTTGAAGTCGCGTCACAAGTAGTGTTCCTCTTACATCGGGATCGCGTTTTTTAGTTTCATTAATACCGAATTAGTGGTATCAATTGCACGAAAATAAATTTTTCTAATGTGTTTGTGTATAATCTTTATGGTTTTCTGTGTTTTTTTATGGTAAGGGACGACTAGTTTTTTCTTATCTCCATGACCATTTTATTCCCCATTTTTCATAGTCTTTCAAAAAATTTAGGATAATTAGTTATTCTAGATGAAGACAAGATCGAATACAGTTCTATCTGTTGGTCTTCTATCTCCATAACTAGATGATTACTCCTGGTTATCAAATTTCTGACAACAGTTGCCTGGATTCCACTGTTGGCTACCATCTGTCTTTGGTTTCATTATGCTTGTGACTTAGTAGCAATATCGAAGCAATCTGCACAGGATGCACAAATGTCAGGAAAGAGACTGACCAATTGCATTTCGAAACACCAATGGGGAAATCCAAAAAACCAGTACAAATGTGTTGAACTTCACCCCATTGCAGAAGCCGCTGACTACCTAGACTCAGTAGTTAAGCGGATAATGCGACGGAGTTTGTTGTGAGTAATACTGGGTTCGTGTTTCGGAGTAAACATAAACTCGGTTGCATGTACATCTGGCTGACGAGTCCCAAATATGAGGAAATACGCATCCTGGAATCGACTGCTAGCCATCATCCATTTCTGATTATATCAGTGACCTTTGTTAGGAGACCATGTACCAACTTGCAATTCAGATATCATTCAGAATCTGTTCGTTTTCGGAAAAAACTGACTTTGATATTGCTGTTTTGTCTTTGTCCGATCAAACAATTGGAAAATGTTAGTTCATGATCTAAAGATACGATCTCTTTGATCAAATTAATGGTCTGTAATATATTGTTTACTTGTTCAATTAGTTCTAACACATTTTGTTTCAGCAAACATACCGTAATTAGATTTTTAGTGGATTGACACATTACATGATTATATTGGTTCCTAAGGAATCTATGAGTAAATTCTTTACAATCTGTGAAACTGGACGTCCACGATTATTACTGCTTCCTGCCGATATAGGTTTTCTCGTAGAACGAATAATGTGGAACATAAACATAATTTCGAGCTCCTAATAACCTCGAGGTACTCTAACATGCAAATTAAATTTAGATCAGTGATAGATTCCAAACATTCACTTGTAATATTCAGTTCTTCTTTAGTAGATAGATTCATAAATAAAGAGCAAACGTCGAAGATTGCCATAATTTTATTATCCTCCATATGATTTGCCTTGATCCTATAACTGAATTCAGTCCCATGCTTTTACTGTGCTGTCATACAGTTCGAGGATCCTAGATGGGTGTTTCGTAATATATGTTGATGGGTTTTTAAAGCCTGTCTCTGACCTTAATCCTATGTCATGCTTGTGGGTCATTTCTAGCCTACAATCTACAAGGATTGCTACTTTTGGTCATGAACTGGATCACAATAAAGATCCTAGTTTCATTCCTATCGATTGTAAAAGCTTGATCGTTTGAGGCTTTAGGTTGTTGAATGTAGCATGTCGTTCGGTTTCTGTAATTTCCTCGCTCTGGTCATCTTTGAGAGGCTCTTTAGCTTTATCACAGTATGTTTCATTAACAATAACTATGACATTTCTTTTGTCCTAATACAATGGCGATTAATTCATCTTTATGAAAATGTCTTAAGGAATAAACTTCATTTTTCATTAAATTAGAAATGTAGCTGAAATTTTATTCCTTCCATTATTCGGTTCTTCATTGAAAAGTACTTCAAATCAGATTCAACTAAAGATATATTTTTGAAAGGAGACAAAAGTAGTTTATTATTATTAAAATTAAGACCATTTGTAAACAAAGACATTTCATGGTCATTTAGACTTCTACCTAACAAATTTGCTTCCACTTTGGTAATGCCACGATTATTAGAAGAGTTTTTAGCCGAACGAAGTTTGTAGTTTGATGTATTTTGGCATGTCCTACCAAACTTCCTTGCCGGTAATTGTTTTGATACGTATGGTAATACTTCCCTCTGTGCCATATGAAATCATTTATATTTACTCCTTGGTCATTTTGTTTAATTAAGGATGAAACACCAATATTATCAACCAGTGAACGTAGTAACTGTAAATTCATTATGGCTCTGTCCGTATGTTTCAATACTTTGATTAAAAGAATAGGATTTCCAAGTGATTTTACCATTGTAGGATACACACGTTTACTTAAAAAAAACCAGATAAAATGCCTAGTGATAATAGCAGTTGTACAATTTCTTGATAGTTTAATTAGATCAACTTTATTCGTTCTGTACAAATGAGTTAATCTTAATACACTTAGTTTACTACTTATAACTAGGTAAAGAAATGACTTCAAAAAGTGATTTTTGTTAATATTAGTTGTGCCTACTGTTTCTTTGATTCAAGTTCGTTCTAGCTCTCTAGGGCACATATTGTTTTCAAAACGGTTTGGTGAGAAAAACAACTTATAAGGTTCAATACTCACAAATAATTTTTCATATATATATAGACTTTATTTTTATTTTATTTAAACACATAAATATTGGTACAAGGAAACACCAGATACATATGCGCCGCACAAATCTTTGATTTGTGTAAGGGCTGGAATACTGTCCAGGTGCCCAAACTGAAACAGGTGGTTTTCTTAGGGGGCCACACCCGAAGCCTTTGACCTAAAGATCTGATCCACAAGGCAGTGGAGCATCGTGAGGAGATGCAGTCTCATGGTATCCGGTGATCAACGATTGATTTGTACGCCATTTGTTCCCTCAGGATACTGGAGCTAGCCCATATGCACCATTGGTTTTGAATCAGGGTTTTCCAACTCCCCTAGGTGGACTCGCATTGTCCTCCAACCCGGTTAAAGCGCCGGACATTCGCTTTTCGTCCTCTCACTTTCGTAAACAACAGTAATGGCACGAGAAGTCAGTGAGTAGGACTTCCCTGGTAGAGGCTATATATTCGCGTGGCCATGTGAGAGCGTTTGGAGAGGGAGAACGGACTCTCCCCACTCTCGGCCGTAGCAGGGCATTTGAGGGCATATATTGACTACTATCATACGATTTACTATTCTTAAGTTATTCTCGTTTTATTAGTTACAGCCCCTAACACGCACAACCACTTTTGACTTGATCT